AATTAAGAAGACTATATACTTTTTATTTCAAAATTTTAAGCTTTATTTATGAACCGTGGGTTTTTTCCAGTTCTAGCTAACTACGCAAATATATACATAAAATAAGAAAAATTGCCTTAACCAAGAAAATTTTAAGAGAGACATAATATAACTGACTATATATATCCAAATCTATCACAATATATCAAAAAAAAAAATCAATTTATACATATATTTTTTATATAAAAAAAATGAAACCAGGAATTTTTCCAGCTTATATCATCCCAACTTGTACCTTCAGTTTTGGTTTCACATGTTTCCAGCTTACCCTTTCTCTCTGTTGTCTTTGTAAGTTCTTCCTCTACAACAATTTTTTTAGCAGCCGAAGTTAGGATGGAAGAAAAATAGTGAACAGTAAACAAAACTCATAATTTAGAGACTAACATTAATTCATCAAAGAATATCACTCCATGCATGCACCAAGAATGTTTCAAGGTTTTAAAAATCTCGGCTTAATTAGTGTCTAGGGGATTATTTATTCAATCAGGAAAACAGCTAACTCTAACACTATTATAAGTATCTCTGACACTATACCTTCAGTTGAACGTTGGATTTCGTCTGCTAAACTCGAGCATTGGCCACTAACACCTTCAGACTATGGATACAAAATCCAAAAACCGAGATTAGAAAAAGTACACTTTATATTTTAAGCGAATCTTTATGACATACAAAAAAAAACAAACAAATTCTACACCAAATCAGCCATTAATTATTGTTTTAACCTGGATTGAGTTATCAACGTCAGAAGAATCTTCGAGCTTTATCACTTCATCCGACCGGGACATAGATGATTGGAAACAGCAACCAGAAAGAGTCATATTCAAATACTAAATATATATAGATCGGTTTACCAAAAAAAAAAAAAAATATAGATCGATACTAAGAAAAAACAAAGGATTAAGTTTGTCTTAGAAAATATTGTTTACCTTGAAGTTCTGGATCGTTCAACGGATTTAAATCCTTGTTTCCGTCAACCTGAAATCAAATGCATGCAAATCAATTTGATGTCTGCTCTTCATCTTCTTAACTATTCCTTCTTAAATTGTGTTATATATATCGTTATAAAGCAAAATTAAAAGGAATTTAATTGTGGTTTATTTACCTGACAAAAAACCTCATGGAAGCTTGCTAGAGCGAGACAGATTGCTAAACTCAGAACCACATGTTTCTTTCCCATCGCAGAGATTGTCATTACAAAGTCCAAAATTAAAGACACTGCTTTGATCTTTCAAATTGAACTTATTTGATGTTTGAAGCAGAACTTCTGTGCTTTATCTTTAAATAATGCCCATGATACAGTAGACTAAACTCCACGAGTCTTTCTTTTGTAATATACTTTATATAATGTAATTTATGTTTCGTAGTTAATGATGTAAATATAGGTCTTTTGTTTATTGATAAATTTGGAAATGGTTAATTGACCGTAGCTTATAATATCATAATTTATATTCATATTCGGTAATGTGTAGAATTCAAACAAACGGGGGCAAAAAACTATAAAATGGATAGTTGTGAGA